CCGTGGGTAGGTAGGTTACGATGACAATGACGGTGATCCGTGCTATACATGGGCATTGGCACGAGCCGAGCAAAACTCGGCTCGTCACAGGTCAAGCTCGTGTGAGCTTTTCAATGAGCCGAGTTTTGCTCGGACGAGCCTTTTCCACGAAGAACAGAACTCGCCACTCGTCATGTTTGACGAGCTTTTTTGAAAGCTCGGCCGAGTTTTGAAAAATGCTCGGACGAGTGCGAGCAAAGCTCGGCTTGTAGCATTGCAGCCACTCCTAACTATCAAAAGCTAGGGCTGAAGAGTTGCGCCCCTCTGCTTTGCAACGAGCAGGCCAAACTTTCTAGAAACAGCTTCGGGAGAGGTGTGGGAGAAATTGGGAAAAGAAAAGCTAGGTCAAAATTAGAATTCGTACCCCGCAGCCCACAGATTTGTGAACCATTTTGCTTCCAACTCCCCTCCCATTACCGATCTTCACCACACTGAATCTAGAAAACCCAACCAACTTGAGATCTGGAATTGTGAGCGTCAATGTTAGATTTACAAGTTTTAGATCTCGATCAACTGGATTTCATGAATGTCCCACAACTAGTTCGTCTGCTATACCAAGATGCCATCGCTAAATCGCGACGATATTTTTTTTCCTCTGCTCGGCGAATTTTTTTAAAAGCTCGTCGAGCTGACGAGTGCTCGGCGAGTTCTTAAAACTCGCCGAGCAATACTCGGCTCGGCTCGGACATGTTTTTCTCGCCATAACTCAAAACCATCACTCATCGTTGAACGACTCCACCGTACGAGCCGCGGAGAAGCTCGCCTCGTTGCGCATGTATAATCCGTGCGTAGCAAGTAATACTCGCCTTGCCTGAGGTGTGGTGCATTTGCACAACTAAATATAAAAGTGAAGCTTTGGCTGTACGACAGACGAACGTGCCAATTCCTCTGTCAAGAGAACACAAGGATAGGGTGAACATGATATCTACAGGAGAATGCAGAAGCATGTGTGGGACCTGGCTCATAAAAGCTACACCTCGGCAACACAACAATAACTCGTTCACAAAGGAAGAGCACAAGGCAGAAGCACGTGAGGCAGGCAGAAGCACATAAGACAGAAGGGCATGCTTGGAAAATAGGAAAATTGCTTCTTAGTTGGCGTACGTATCCCTTAGGCGAGCCAGCCATAAGCAAGCTCGTTGCAGTGGAGTAAATGTCTCACAAAATCGTCAGTGCAGTCAGCTTTGTGATTGAGGAGGGCACGGAGCCAGAAAGCATGTTGGAGAAGAAATAGCTGAGGGAGGCCGCCTCATGACAAGTCAATGCAAGGTGTATTGAATTGACAGAACAAAGAGGTTGCGCAACATGACAAGAGCAGGATACGATCGCCAGCTTTGTTTCTAATATTCCATTCCCTTCATTCACAACCCAGCTTCCTTCCGAGTTCTAGAGACTAATCTTGCCACAACATGTCGTCAGCTCGGCTCTATTAACCGACATCTGCACCCCCAACCCTTTTCCCAACACGTTCACTCCCCCCAAACTTCTCCAGACCCGTTCCCTCTACGCATCCAATCTCAACTGGTCCACTAAAAGAACTCGATTTACATGATAGGGGGGTCACGTTTCCTGCCCATGTAAACGTCCGTAACTCTTAACGGAAGTAGCGGGCCCAGTAACACATTTTTCCCTTCCCCTATCACCCACCCACTTACCAGACGTCCGTATCAGCGGACACTGCGTATTTCTAGCATCTGCCCCATCCCCCCGCGAGTGTGAGACGCATTTAAGCTAGCGTGTAAATGGGTAGTGTAGAATAGACCACCTCTTTTTTCCATTGGGGGACGTTGGAATGATGGGAGGAAAGGAACACAAGTGATAAGGGGAGCGAGCAAGGAAGGGAGCAGCCAAGGCAAGTAGGGCAGGCAGAGTAGAGTGCAGTGCAAAAAAAAATAATAGACAAGCACACGTGGAGGACGTAAGAGGAGTGGAGAAGGGACGAGTGATGCTTGAAAGAGCAGCAGCAGCAAGAAACCTCACAGGGTGATCATGCTGGTCAGTGAGCCAATGTCAGCCGGGATAGCGCCGGTGAGTGTATTGTTGAAGAGCCACCTGCACGGACAGAGAAACAGGGGTTGTGTGCGTACGAGCATGCGGACATGCATGCGTGCGCGTGCACGGACAGGGAGAGAGGGGACCAGAACAAAGAAAACACGTGGCAGGGCGTTGTCCGGTGTGCATCACACTCACAGGTATTGCAGCAGGCTGAGCGCAGTCACGGTGGCAGGGATGCTGCCTGGCAACTGGTTGCTTGTGAGATCGCTGTGAGGACACGATGACGGTAGCAAGGGGGGCGGGCCTAGCAGTTGAGCAAACCACAAGGAAGAAAAACCATGAGGCCTGCCCACCTTTGCGACCAGACCGGCCCGTATCGCCCGCCCATCCCCGAGCAGAGCCTTAGCCATGGGCCTGAGTATACATGGGCAAAAGACGAGTCGAGTTTTACTTGATTCGTTTTGACGAGTTTTTTGTCACACACGAGTCGAGTCGAGGAAAACTCGCCAAGTTTTTTGTGCCACAAAGCAAACTCAAAACTCGACCATTTTACTGAGTTTTTTCAACACTCGGACGAGTTCAAAGAAAACTCGTCCGAGTCAAGTAAAACTCGACTCGTTGTTAAACACCCCCCTTACCCACCACCCCACGAAACCAGTTTAGTGAAAGGAAATGCCGCGCGAATCTAGCAGCGGAATGCTATGTGCGGGCAGATATGGCGGCGGAATGCTAGGTGCGGGCGGATCTAGCGGCGGAATGCTATGTGTGGGCGGATCTGGCGGCGGAATGCTAGGTGCGGGCAGATCTAGCGGCGGAATGCTATGTGCGTTCAGATCTGGCAGCGGAGTGCTAGGTGCGGGCGGATCTAGCGGCGGAATGCTATGTGCGGGCGGATCTGGCGGCGGAATGCTAGGTGCGGCCGGATCTGGCGGCGGAATGCTAGGGGCGGCCGGATCTGGCGGCGGAATGCTAGGTGCGGGCGGATCTAGCGGCGGAATGCTAGGCGCGGGCGGATCTGGTGGCAAAATGCTCAGGAGCCCCCAAAACTTGCGAGTTTTGAAAAAACTTGCTTGGTAGCCGAGTTTTTCACGAGTTTTTTTAACTCGCGAGCAAAACTCGACTCGAGCAACCGAGTTTTTTTTACAAAAAAACAAACTCGAAACTCGAGCTTTTCGAGTCCCTCGAACGATTCGAGGAAAAACTCGACTCGTTTGCCCATGTATAGGCCTGAGCACGGGTCCGAGCCGAGCCAGCTTGGCTCCAGCTGGAGTCAGCTGTCGTTATCCCGAGTTGAGCCAAGTCTGTGCAACACGAGCTGAGCTGCCTTTGTCCGGCTCACAAATGGGCCATTCCGGTGAGCCGGGAGTTGGCCTGGCCGGCCACAAGCCACCCTGCCACAAGCGGCCGGCCACAAGCCTCTAGTGGCTTGCCTGTGAAATGGTTCTGCTCGAGTACTACTCGACAAGTCGTTCTACTGGAAGCGAAAAAAGGTGGATTCTCAAGGAATTAGAGCTAACCAAGGTTTCGGAAGGATATGGTGATGTGGAGAAGTATGGGCCTAGCGAGGCGAAGGAGCAGAAAGTAATGATACGAAACAAAATGAAAAGAACCAGACATAAAGCTGAAATAACCAGATATGAAGCTCATTTTATCCCCGGATTGACAACCACGACTCGGATTCCTACTTCTCGTCTCCTCAACTAAGCTGCTACAAGACTCGCCGAAGCACGCCACGCCACATACCAGAAAAGCACTCAGGACGGGCTCGCTGCGAGCTGCAACGCAAAGTCAGAGGCTAGGCTCGATGGTTTTCCGAGCCAATCCTCGGCTCGGTTAGTTGGTCAGGCCAACTTAGCCAGCCACATGGATAGACAACTGGCCACAGCTTTTTATTAGGCCCGATGACAACTGGCCAGTGAGGTACAGGGGATCAGAAGAGGTAAGAGGGCTATGAATAGAGAGATAGGGGGAGAGAGCAAAAAAATGTTAACGGCTTAGAGGGAGGCCAGAAATGGGAAACGGGGGCAAAGACAGGGAAAAACGCGGGAGGAGGGAGGGGTGGGCTGGAGAAGGGGTGGTGAAAAGAAACCTGTGCTTTGGGAAGAGGCGTAGCTGTGCTGTGGGAAGAAAAGTGGAGTTGCATTTCCCTGATGCAAAACCTCAGGCCCTGAGTCTCAGGGCAACACGGCACTGAGGAGAGGACGTACAGATAAATGAGCTTCTTGAGGCTGCTGAGGGAGTTTGGAATCTGCCCTCCCAGCTTGTAGTTCCGGAGTTGCCTGTTTTATGGTGTGGCGATGATGTGTTTGTGTGTGAATAATGGTGTCACAATCATGGTGAGTGGTGTGACAATGATGGTGAGTGAATGGTGGTGTGATGATGGTGAGTGAATGGTGGTGTCACAATGATGGTGAGTGAATGTGGTGTGACAATGAGGCGTGTGAACGATGGTGTGCCAATGATGGCGTGTCAATAATGGTGAGCACTGAGCATGGGTTCTCAAAAATGGCAATAAGTACATCATGGCCTCTCAGACTCATCCTCTAACTCCCATACTCTCACTCCCAACCTCTCACTACCATCCTCTCACTCCCATACTCTCACTCCCATCTTAAGTTGGCTTGGCACTTCACGCTTACGGGGGTTTACGTGTACGTAACATTTGATTCTCCCATGTTAAGCATTTTAACAACTTACATCACCTTACAGATGCTTCGTGCATACACTGCCATGTTACTGCCTCGTGATGGTCGGATCGGATGGGGCTGCATATTTGGTGTAGCCTTCATTTTTTTCTTTTGCCGTGCCCGAGCAACTTCGATCTAAATTACGAGTAGTGAAAGGTAAAGGTAAACTTACACCTTTGCGTGACCAAAAAAAAACGTAAAACTGCCAACTAAGCTCCCATCCTCTCACTCCCATCCTCTCACTCCCATAGCCTCCCTCGCATCGCCTCTCTCATCGCCTTACATGATCACGATCATGCCGGAGGGATCGCACGCGAGGCCCGTGGCACTGCTGCAGTCCGGACTCTCACCACTCCACCCGGAGATGCTCTGCCCCCATGCTGCCTGGCACTCCTGCAGGAATTGCACTGCAATGAGTGGTAGCGGGTGGGGTCAGGAGAGCGAAGGGGGGGGTGAGGCAGGATGGGGAGGGACTCTCTTGGAAGGATTGGAAACTCTCCACAACAAACCCCATGGCTGGCATCGGTCTGAACTGAAGACGACTCACGCTCAGTGATTGCCATCCTGTGTCGCCCTTGCCCATGTCGCTCCATCTCGCCTCTCTTTTGCAACGCTTGTCGCAAAACTCACCCACAGGGACGAAGCACTTATGGAGCCTGCTCTGGCCGACAAACATGTCAACACCGTGTGCTGGGATGGGAGGTCACCCACAGCACTACTGCAAAAAATAAAAATACATAACATTTCTCACACCTTGTGCCTGTCTTGGTGCTCTAGCAGGTCCCACGACCTTGCTCTCTGCCCCTCGACCCTGCTCTCTGCCCCTCGCCCTTGCTCTCTGTCCTTCGCCCTTTGCTCTATGTCCTTCGCCCTTTGGTCTATGCCCTTCGTCCTTTGCTCTCTGTCCTTCGCCCTTGCTCTCTTTCCATCGCCCTTTGTTCTCTCCCCTTCGCCCTTTTGCTCTCTGTCCTTTGCCGTTTGCTCTCTGTGCTTCGCCCTTGCTCTCTGTCCTTCACCCTTTTGCTCTCTGTCCTTCGCCCTTTGCTCTCTATCCTTTCGCCCTTTGCTCGCCCTCGTTCTCTGTACTTCGCACTTTGCTCTCTGTCCTTTGGCCTTTCTCTCTGTCGTTCGCCCTTGCTCTCTGTCCTTCTTTCTTCCTCTCTCTCCTTCGCCCTTCCTCTCTGTCATTCGCCCTTGCTCTCTGTCCTTCTTTCTTCCTCTCTCTCCTTCGCCCTTCTTCTCTGTCCTTCGCCCTTCCTCTCTGTCCTTCGCCCTTCCTCTCTGTCCTTCGCCTTTGGTCTGGGTCCTTCGCCTGTGTCGCTTCGCCCTCTGTCCCTCGAGAGAGACACTTGCCTTGAGTGGCTTCGAGAGGCACGGCCTTCACCATTGCGACGGGCGCGACAAGGACGGCGAGCCACCACGCCAATGCCCACAGCGCGTTGCACGCGCTCACGATCACGTGTCGTCGCCGTTGAGCCCGCGGCAGCCGGCCCCCCAATCATCACAAAAATCCCTAATTAATTTGGCCCTCGCCTCCTCCTCAACCCTTGTCTCCTCGGGGCCCCACCCGCAACTGACTTTCGGCCTATCTAAGTGGTTCGCTGCCCCACCGACTCTGACGCACGAAAAGCGGCAAGCCGGTACTAGTACTTCTACGAGTGGGCTGCATTTGTGGCTTTCCTAACTAGGGTGAGCCGTCACACACCAACCAAAAGTTGTTGGGAAGTGAGTTCCGAATGTTCCTAATATGAAGTGCCCCTCACCTCACTGTTCCTTATTCGCGTCTCTTAAAGGATTTTCATTATCTTTAGAACAACCTCCCCAACTTAATTTTTAGAATAACCTCCTCAACCATATCTTTTTGTTACCATTAGTGGACTTGATTGAGCGAACGAAGATTGCACTATCGAAGCATATCTATACAATGAGAAAAGGCATGAGGGAGTTGTTATATTGCAAAACAATATGGTAACGGTAACGAGGGACAAATAGGGTGCCTTACAGAGCTAGCGTCGAGATCTAGAATTGTCGAGGCGTGGGGTCGTGTCAGGAGATACTAATTGAGCCAAGTGGTTTGGGCGCGACGGTCGTGGTGGCAGGAACAGTAGTTGAGGCGAATGTCGCGAGGTGGTTAAGGGACACTGTTTGGTTGTGATGGTGGGAATAGTGTTGTACTCGGTATGTGAGGTGACTTACAGTAAGGAAATTATTATCCCTTACGCTACCCCTCTCCCCGAGGGAGGCTTTTACAAAAGTGCGTTGACATCGCAGAGAAATCTACTGCGAAGGTAGTCTGTCACGACTGGATACGTTTCGATTTTGGACCCTCTGACCCAGCAGAGCTAGAATTCGATATGGCGGGCTCTACGTAGATCACGAACATTGTAGCTGAGGACCTCCCTCCCACTTCTCTGTCAGAGGTCCACTGGTGATCCCCGATTGATCCTAGGGAAGGGTTACAGGCACGTTGGCCTGGGGGGTTATGGGCGCACTGACCCGCTACTGAAATAAGCCCTTTTATCCCAATGGTCTAGTGGTTGGGATTCTGAGATGATATCAGAGCGAAGGTCTCGGGTTCGAATCCTGGTGTATGCACTTCGGGCATCCCAGTGCGGGGGGGTGTCGGAGGTCCAATTGTGATCCCCGATTGATCCTAGGGAAGGGTTACAGGCACGTTGGCCTGGGGGGTTATGGGCGCACTGACCCGCTACTGAAATAAGCCCTTTTATCCCAATGGTCTAGTGGTTGGGATTCTGAGATTCTCCTCGCTCCCTGCTGTCACTGTCTCTATCAGAATATTAGGCGCATCTACTTGCAGCATTTGTTCCCTTTCTAAGAGTAGGTATTATAAGGACACGTCTCTCAATGCAACCTGTTTGTACCCCACCACTACCGACAGAAGCCTCGCATCCCAGTCCCTCTTGTACCTCTCCCCATCGGCTCTCAGCCCTCTTTTCACCGTCTATACAAACCTCTTTGTTTACTCGTCACTCTATAGGTGATACTTTGAGGCTTTGTGGTGTGTGATTCCTGTCTCTACCAGCAGCTTCTCAAACTCACCCCAAAACTCTGTCCCCCGATCCTGCAGAACTTCTCCACACGCCCCACATCTTGTGAGCACTTGCTCCTTGAAAGCTTCTACTATGCGCGCCGAGTTTTTACCAGGTAACGCTCTCACCTCTACCCATTTTTACATGTGCTCGATCATTATTGGTATGTACCGTTTTCCTCTGCGGCTCAGCGCCATTTCGCCCCCCAGGTCAAAGGACCACTTGAATCCCAGGCCCCTTCTTGGCATTGACTACAGTTCCTCCCTCCCTCCCTGTAGCTCCACCTTATTCCTACTAGACAACTCGCAGCTCTCCACCCACTTCTTAATCGCTCTCCTCATTCTTCTCCCATTTCTACCATCTGTGTCATTCTTAAGCTTCTAAAATGCCCCAGCTGCCTGCGCACCTTAGCTATGATGCGCTCTCTTTCGGCTTTTCTAGGAACCACCATCCACCCGCTTTTCATGCTCTTCTTCAGCTGCTCCTGATACTACGTGTAATGTGCGCCTTTTGCCCTTGCCCTGTCAGTGATTGGTTTTGCCTCTATCGTCTTCCCTCTTACCCACCGAAGTATTTCCTCATCCTCCCGCACCTCATCTGCCCCTATCTCTTGCCCACGCCTGGCTCCCTTTCCATCAATTTCCCTGGCCAATGCTACTAGACATGCTGTCGGCCTTGCTGGCAGTAGGTTCCTTTACAACCCATCCACGTGCTGCATTGATTTGCCTCGTTGGTGACTTATGGTGAACTCCTATAGCCACATCGTCATGGCCTGGTTGATAATTAGCATGGCCACTGGCTGGTGCTCTGTCATTCTTTGAAAGTACAATTAGTAGAATGTTATTGCCCACACCTGTAGCTGGCCCTCCCCTTTGTAGGAGCTGTAGCTGGCCTCGGCTAGATTACGGCTCCTTTTGGCAAAGGCCATCACTTTCTCCTTGCCTTCTCTCTCCTTGCATAGTATTGCTCCCACCTTCGAGTTGCTCTAGTCCGTATATAGCATGAACAGGTCCTCCTTGATGGGTAGCGTTTGCACGGTTACCGTCTTGGTTGCCTTAAGCAGAGCATAGAACGCTCCTTGCTCCATCTCTCCCCATTACCACACTTGCTAATCTCTCAGCCGCCAGCTGGATTGCTACAACCCCTCGAGCCACCCGAACGTGTCAGATTTATATGACTTAGCTGCTGTAGGCTATAATGGGGTAGCACATACGGGGTACAGCTTTCTAGGGTTTGTACTTGTACCCAACTTTCCCTTAGTCATTTCATTCCTCCTTTCTTCTCATGGTTTCAGAGCAGGTTCCCTAGTGGGAACGCTTTCTAGGGTCCACCTCGATTTTTTTTTCCCCTGCCCGGAGCGCGCTTCGCTTCTGCCCGAGTCACGCCCCGAGTGCCCTCCCTATCGTCGCGCCGCCCTTAGCGGCCCCCTCTCACGGCCCCTTGAGCCCCCCTTACGGCCCCGTGCGCCGCCCTTGCGGCCCCTCGCGCCGCCCTTGCGGCCCCTCACACCGCCCGTCGGCCCCGCGCGCCGCCCTTGCGGCCCCTCGCGCCGCCCGTCGGCCCCGCGCGCCGCCCTTGCTGCCCCTCGCGCTGCCTGTCGGCCCCTGGCGCTGCCCTTCCGGCCCCTTACGGCCCCTCGCGCCGCTCTTGCCCCCCCCCCCCCCCCCCCTACGGCCCGTTCGCGGCCCGCCGTCGCCACCTCTAGCAGCGGCCGCCGCCGTCCCTGCAGTAGCAGCCGCCGCCGCCGTCCATACAGCAGCGGCCGCCGCCGTCTCTGCAGCAGCGGCCGCCGCCGCCGCCCCTACAGCAGCGGCCGCCGCCGTCCCTGGAGCAGCGGCCGCCGCCGCTGTCTCTCCAGCAGCGGCCGCCGCCGCCGTCCCTGAAGCAGCGGCCGCCGTTGCCGCCTCCTACAGCGGCCCGCCGTCGCCGCCTCCTGCAGCGGCAACCATCGCCGTCACTGCAGCAGCAGCTGCCACTGTACCTGCAGTAGCCGTGCCGCCCGAGCTGCCGAGCCGCCGTTCCAGCCAAGCCGCCCGAGCCGCCGAGCCGCCCGAGCCGCTGAGTCGCCGAGTCGCTGAGCTGCTGTTGGTGCCGAGCCGCCGAGCCTTCCTAGCCGCCCTGTTTGCTACACCCGGTCACTACCGTCGCGGCCTTGTTCCTACCGGCGAGCCTCAGTCCTTCTCGCCTGCCCGGTAAGAGCGGCACCTCTACCACTGCGCTGCACTTAGCCTACTGCTCGCGCTGCTAGTCCACTACTGTCATGGCTACCCCAAGTGTCCTCGCTTTTGACGCTGAGGGTCGGGCCATTGACTTTGACGCGAGGGTAGATGACCTGCAGCTTTTCCTACAGTGCGATAGGGCAGACGGTCTCTCCCTCTTTGACCTCACTTTTGGTGCCTCTCCTGCCCCTGCTGCTGATGCTGACGCCACTATTCGCTCATAGTGGGCCACGCGCGATGCTGCTGCACGTCTTGCTGTGCGTCGCCACTTGCCTACCTCTGAGCGTGCGCACTTTAGCCAGTACAAGAGTGCTAAGACCTTGTACGACGGTGTAGTTGCACGCTACTCTTCCCTTGCCACTGCTGCACTTAGCCGCCTCATCTTGCCGTACCTCTTCCCTGACCTCGCAGCTTTTCCCGCAGTCGCTGACCTCATTACACACCTTCGCACTAGTGACATTCGCTACCACGCTGCCCTTCCCGCTGAGTTCTGCGCCAAGAACCCCCCCCCTCTTATGTACATCACCCTCTACTACATAGTCACCCGCCTCCCTGACACCCTTCGCCTGGTCAGGGACCACTTTCTCTCCGTTTGCCCCACCACCCTCACCGTTGACCTCCTCGAGGAGCGCCTCCTAGCAGCGGAGAAGAGCATAGTCGCTGTAGGAGCCTCTCTTGGTGACCCTCGTGCCCCTGTCTTTGAGGGGTGCTCCCCCTCTCCTCTCTTGCCCTCTGTTGCCTCTACTACTTCGGCTGACCTTGTTGGTCTTGAGTCGGTCGGTGCAGCGTCTGCCCCTAGCGAGAGACGTCGCACTGGCAAGGGCAAGGGGGGCAGGGGCGTTAGAGGAGCCAGCGGGGGCGGTGGAGGCGGTGGTGGAGGCGGCGGAGGGGGTGGGGGTGGCGGTGGGAGTGGTGCCGGGGGTGGGGGCGTTGGTGGCGGCAGTGGAGGCGGAGGCGGGGGCGGCGGTGGCGGTGGGAGCGGCGGTGGCGGAGGTGGCGGCGGTGGAGGAGGCGGCAGCGGAGGAGGTGGAGCTGGTCGGGGTGGCGCTGCGCAAAGGGTCGGCTCCGGTGGTGGTCAGCGCCAGCAGCATCAGCAGCAGCAGCAGCGCACATCGTGAGTTCCCCCCCCCCCCCCCCCCCTCAGCAGCTTCGTGAGTAGTACACTGCACGCCAGCGGGGTGGGGGTACTGGTCCGTGCACCTACGTCCTACGCACCGGCGAGTGAGCCGTGCGGGGGTGCGCACATCCACCCAGCGCTGCGTTGGCTGCCTGACGGACACCTGGCGTCACCAGTTCCTTGAGGCCACTGAGATCCCTCGCTGGGGCGAGCTGTCTAGGGCGGGAGTAGCTATCTTTGACCTTGACTTTGATGCTATTCTTGCTGCCATGTATGCTGTGACTATTACTGATGAGGGTGACTGTTACTGGTGTTTTCCGCCTGACACGGGCATTGGGACTGCTGCTCTAGGTACTGGTGAGGCTGCTGCTCTAGGTGCTAGCGAGGCTGCTGCTCTACGTGCCAGTGCGTCTACTTCTTCAGGTGCTGGTGAGTCTGCTCTATCAGGTACTGCGTCGGCTTTGGCCTCCCACACCTTCACCCTTGACTCGGGGGCTTCTCGCTCCTTCTTTCAAGACCGCACCACACTGACGCCGCTTGGTCGGCCAGTTGCAGTCTCTCAGGCAGACCCCTCTGGGGGTCCTGTCCTTGCTCACTTCTCCACTGTCCTCCCGTGTCCGGCGGCCCCCTCTGGCAACCTGTTTGGTCTTTACTTCCCCTCATTTTCTACAAACTTGGTAAGTGGTGCTGACCTGCAGGATGCGGGGGTTCGCCAGTTCACTCCTGCGAGCCAGCGAGTGACCCACTGCACGGAATTCGTGCCCCACACCCATCGCCAATATTGCCTCCAACCAGTTCCCCCTCCCATCACCTATCTTCACCGCATTGCATCTATCTCATCCAACCAATTTGATATTTGGAATTTGTACAGTCGTCACATGACTTCCAGTCCAGATCTACATGACGTTGATATAGGGAGCGTCTTTCCCCCCCTCCCTTCTGCGGGAAGAACCTTCAATCTGCGCGGATCTGCAGGGAAGGGAAATTGCCGATCAGCACGGAAATTGCCGTTCACTCTTGCACAAATCGCGGATGTGAATTTGACGGTGGCAAAATGCTTGTCATGCAATCCCGCATCTTTTCGTATATTCACATTTTTTTCGGTCGGGCTGCCCCAAAAACAATTGGCAAGCGTATAGCGTACTAGCTTGCGTTTAGCGTATAAACGCTAGCGTATATCCGCTAAACGCACAGTGTCCTAAGCGTATTTTTTAACTTAGGTGCCCTGAGTGAACCCATATCGAAACGGCCCAGGTTCGACTCGGACGTAACAAAATTTTCCGAGTTGCAATGGAGGAGGGGTGGGTACATGGAGAAGGGGGATGGGGTGCGGTTTGCGAAAAAAATCAGATTTTGGATTACGTCATCATGCAAAAGTCAATCTCTGCTGCAGAGACACCCCATTCCCCCCAACCCTCTCCCCTTCCACCTCGCCCTGGCAACCCTAAATCCTGTACAGACGTAAAGTTACCACGCCCTCTTCTACCCTATCCCACTCCACGTCGCCCCCTTGCTCACCCCACACCTTCCCAATGCCTTCCGCCGCCACAGCAACCCCCCCAACCATGCCAAATGTGGCCGTGAGCGCATCTTCTTGAAATCGCGAGTTTGCTTAACTCGACTTGGTCGAGTTGTGTCCCGAAAGAAAATCAATCTCGTAACTCGGTTTGTATGTCCATGTATAATGCTGTCGGTGTGCGAAGGGGAAGGCAGTGGGAGAAATGAGGGAGGAGAGCTAGGGACATCGGGTAGCTGATGGCATCACACCGGGAAAAGAGGTGATTAATTTCGTTCGATGGGGATTTTTTTGTGCTGCTTAACGCGCGTAAGTCTCCTGAAAAAGTCCCATTCCACCCTGCCACAGCTGCCCAGTCATTCTCTGCAGCATCACGCCGCTGCCGCTGCTGTCAAGGCTGTGCCGCCCCATCACCACGCTGATGCTGTGACTGCACTCCACACTGCTGCCCACCATGCCACCGCCGCCACCATTGTAGGCACTGCGGCACTGCCATGCTGCCGGTGCTGCGGGAAGCCCAGGGAGGAGGAGGCGTCTGTGAGTGAGAATGGCATTGACTGCCAGCAACGGCGTGACACATCCATGCTCGCGCTCCTCCTGCCTATGCTGCCCGTGCTGCGTGTGCTACCTATGCTGCCTGTTCCTGCTTGTGGCCGCCGCACTCCCTCCATGCTTGGGTGACCTTGTCTCCCTGGCCCTGCTATCCCACCTCCTCCGCTCATGTTCGTATCAATGAAACTGCCGCTCATGCTCCCTCCCATGTTCTGACCCAAGGTCCCCCAAACCCCCCTTCCCCTCCCCACCCCTTCGCATGCTCCCACCTCTGCTCCGCCTGTGTTTCCACAACTGCTCTCGCCCATGCTGCCCCCAAGTCGTCCCTTTGGGGTCGCTCAGCAGAGGAGTTGGTGCTGAGGAGGAGTAGGGGAGGCAAGGCGAGGCGTGCGGAGGAGGGGCTGGGGTGAGGGGCCTGGCATGGGCAGCGGGGGGAGAAAGAGGAGAGGCGAGGAGCTGGTGGGACGAATGTGAGAAGCAGAGACGTGGTGTCGGATGGCATGTCGTGGGGGACAGTCACAGCGGGCACGCATGTGCAAAGCATACCCAAAGAGCGAGGGAGGGCGGTCATTGAAGCAACGTGCTGGACACAGCCTGCCACCATCCGCACCACCACGGCCGCCGCCCGCCAGTATGCGCGTTCCCCTCGCCCAAACTCCCTGCTAACCCCACGCTACCTGCCTCTCGCTCCTCACTCTGCCTGCCCTCAATTCACCCTGCCGCTCCACTGCGCCGGCTGCCTGTCTGCCCACCGCACGCAGACGAAGCTGCCGCAAGCTGGGCTGGGGGGGGCGAGGCACCGATGCTCACACAAGCAGCAGCTTCAGCTGCACCAGCAGCATGGACGCGCCTCTCCAGCCCGCTCACTCGTGCACACCGGCCCCACGCACCCTTCTCCATTGCGCTCTCCCCTTCCCCCTCCCCATCATTCTCACAGAACGGACCTCACCCACCCCCACTCTCCACCTCACCCACTTCTCTTCCCCGCTGTCCACGCCCAGCGCCCCCAGCTCGTCCATCAGCCACCGCCGTGCCCTCTCGCCCCCACTTCTCTTCGCCGTGGTCGCCACCCGTCCCGTGCCCTCTCGCCCTCCCCTTGCTCGGAGAAGTTGTTGCGGGACGCGGGGCGGGGGAGGAGGCTACAGCGACGGTGTTGGGAACGCCACAGCCCTCGGTGAAGGGAAGGGGAAAGAGAAGGAAGGGTGGTGGCAGAAGAGTGGTAATCTGCCATGCAAGGAGAACCTTTTGCGACTGGTGCGTAATTGACAGGCATATCTCTTCACCACACCTGCCACTGTTGCTGCCACTGCCCAGCCCTGTAACGCGTTGTTTGAGGAGAGGCGGAGGGCGCAGTGACCACATAGGGAGCGGGCATGGGGCCACCCGACTGCGAGAGCAGGGATGGAGGGGGAGATGGCGTGGTCCAGGGGCGAGGAGGGCCATCACAAAAATGTGTGTGTTTGAAAATCATCTGCCGTTCCCGCAGGTCGATCGTATGTTTGACAATCGTTTGAAAAACGTATAGAAAACCTACAAAAATCGTTTGTCCCTGTTGAGACGTTTTGGAAGACACTATTCGTATGTTTCCGCTCAATGTTTCTTGCCTGTTGCTGCAGCATTAGGGTTTCGCGACTAAGAGGGGTTGGAGCTGGTCTCCTCGCTTGGAAGATTTGTGTTGTAAACCTGTTCTCGATATAAATGTCTCCTTTTTACTTCTGTGCATTGTTTGTTACAGCAAAGCCTTTGAAGATTGTTTCTTGAATTTGTAAATCCCATTAAGAACATGGGTTTCCAAGTGTCATATTTAACCAATGGTTATTGATTTTGCACCTATTAGATTAAAGAAATGCCTAAAAATATCAATATTCTAGGTTCAAAATCAACGTTTACCACAGTCACATTGGGTCAAAGGCCTCACCATACAAATCTGTTGAGGAGCCTCACTTCATCGTCCTCGCAAGAGGGTACAATGTGCACGAGACTAAGAATGCAGTCTACATCGATCACCGCATAATTATCAACGCCCTCTGTGGGTAAAAGACGCTTGCATCCCGTCAACGGGCATTGTCGCTTGTCTTCGGTGTAGTACTCCACATATGCGCCTCGCCTCAGCTCACCACCCTTGTTGTAATGAGACAGCACAAGGCGACGGCCATACCACAGGGATCCCTTCCCTGCAGGGTTGATCGCAATCGACGAGAAGTTTTGCTGGGCTGGGCTAGCCTTGACGAACTGCCCCCTTGACGTCCATTCCATCTTATCGTGTGGCGGGATCGCAAGTGCCGTGTGCACCTGTCACCACGAGCATTCAACAAAGAAAAAGGGAAAGCAGCGAAAGAGGGGGTGGAGAGCATACGGGAAATGGGGTATGGCCAGGGTTTGCATGGACAGCAGTCTGGAGAGGGGGAACCAGGGGCGGATGGGGTGGAAAGCAAGCAGGAGAGGGGGAACCAGGGGTGGATGGGGTGGAAAGCAAGCAGGAGAGGGGGAACCAGGGGCGGATGGGGTGGAAAGCAACCAGGAGAGGGGGAACCAGGGGCGGATGGGGTGGAAAGCAAGCAGGAGAGAGGGAGCCAGGGGTGGATGGGGTGGAAAGCAAGCAGGAGAGAGGGAACCAGGGGCGGATGGGGTGGAAAGCAAGCAGGAGAGGGGGAACCAGGGGCGGATGGGGTGGAAAGGAAGCAGGAGAGGGGGAAGCAGGGGCGGATGGGGTGGAAAGCAAGCAGGAGAGAAGGAACCAGGGGCGGATGGGGTGGAAAGCAAGCAGGAGAGGGGGAACCAGGGGCGGATGGGGTGGAAAGCAAGCAGGAGAGGGGGAACCAGGGGCGGATGGGGTGGAAAGCAAGCAGGAGAGGGGGAACCAGGGGCGGATGGGGTGGAAAGCAAGCAGGAGAGGGGGAACCAGGGGTGGATGGGGTGGAAAGCAAGCAGGAGAGGGGGAAGCAGGGGCGGATGGGGTGGAAAGCAAGCAGGAGAGGGGGAAGCAGGGGCGGATGGGGTGGAAAGCAAGCAGGAGAGGGGGAACCAGGGGCGGATGGGGTGGAAAGCAAGCAGGAGAGGGGGAACCAGGGGTGGATGGGGTGGAAAGCAAGCAGGAGAGGGGGAACCAGGGGCGGATGGGGTGGAAATCAAGCAGGAGAGGGGGGAACCAGGGGCGGATGGGGTGGAAAGCAAGCAGGAGAGAGGGAACCAGGGGCGGATGGGGTGGAAAGCAAGCAGGAGAGAGGGAACCAGGGGCGGATGGGGTGGAAAGCAAGCAGGAGAGAGGGAACCAGGGGCGGATGGGGTGGAAAGCAAGCAGGAGAGGGGGAACCAGGGGCGGATGGGGTGGAACGCAAGCAGGAGAGGGGGAACCAGGGGTGGATGGGGTGGAAAGCAGGCAGGAGAGGGGGAACCAGGGGCGGATGGGGTGGAAAGCAAGCAAGGGATGGGGAACCAGGGGCGGATGGGGTGGAAAGCAAGCAGGAGAGGGGGAACCAGGGGTGGATGGGGTGGAATGCAAGCAGGAGAGGGGAATGCACCTGCAAGACTTGCGTGTTGATGCCCGCCTGTTTGAGGCGCAGAACCATTGCACTCATGGCGGGTTCACCCAGCGTCAAGACGTAGCTCCGGAACACCGAGTCGGTGATGTCTCCAATGACCATCTTCTTGTGGGTCTTAGTAAGTGCCCTCCGGCCAGCCAGGCGTGCCTGTCACCGTGAAGATGAGAGGGTTGGTATAGGGAGGGGGTGGGGTGAATGGTGTGGGCATTTGGAGGGTGGAAGAGAGGGTGGGGGAGGGGATTGATGCGGGGGAGGCGAAGGAGAGGGCTAGGGACCAGGGGGGAATGAGGGGGGGGGAACGGGGGCGAGTTTGTGGGGACGAAGACGAGGATGGAGGGTAGGAGTCGGTTACTTTGGTTAGGTTGGTCCCGCATCTGATTGCCAACTCATGCAGACACATCAGTGAACATAGCATGGAAACAGTGCTGAGAACAGAGCATGGAAACAGAAAAGGGTACAGAAAAGGGGAACGGACTAGGGGAACAGAGCAGGAGAAGAGAGCAAGAGAGCTGAGAAGGGAAACAGAGCAGGGAAACAGAGCAAGGGAACAGAAAAGTGGAACAGAGCAAGAGAACAGAGCAGGGCAGCCATGTAGTGAGTCAGAGTAGGAGAGCAGAGCATAGGAATAAAACAGGGAAACAAAGCAGACGAGAGTGTGCAAGGGTACAGAGCAGGGGGGACATTGCAGGTTTAAAAGAATCACCTCTTTCATCGAAGTCTCGTACGTGCTGTCCCCCGCCGGCCTCCCGCGCTAGTTGTCTAACTACCGCGTGCTCCATGTGTTTCCGAACGATGCGATCTTCGACATTCTTCCAATTCGTGCCACGTGAAGGACGCTTCACAGTGGTCTTGTGGGAGTGCTCAAACAGTTCGACGAGTACTCTGCGGGGATTCCCCGAAGACGGATGGTTGACGGGAGGTGGACAAGGAGATGAATTTTCACTATTTTCCACTTTGACTTCTGCTTAGGAAATGCAACACGTGAAGCCTTCACCATGCTGGGGAGAGACAGTCGAGAGCATGCATGCAGTTAAGGGGTGGAATGCAGGCCAGGAAGGGAGAAACGACACGAGGGAGGGGGGTGAGGAATCATGCAGTCAAGGGAAAAAAAAGGGTTTAGGGTAGTTAAGCAGGTGGGGTATGAAGAACATGGATGCAAATGGGTCAAAACAAGATGAAAGGGAAGGGGTTGGGGGGGGGGGGGGGGTGGGGGGGGGGGGGGGGGGGGGGGGGGGGGGGGGGGGGGGGGGGGGGGGGGGGGGGGGGGGGGGG